CATTGTACCACTTTTAGGATATGGCAACATCCGAGTATCACCAGTTGCCTAGCAAGGTGTCAAAAACATGATGACCAAAAAAAAAGTGATAAAGTACAGATAGTCCTTGACTTACAACAGTTCGCTTAGTGACTGTTTGAAGTTACAATGGCACTGAAAAAAGTGTCCCCCAAGGCACAGCTGAGGAAGACACCTGCCTGCCTGCCCGCCCGGCGGCGCTCTTCCTCCTGTCTGAAGTTTTCATTGTTGTGAGCATTTCTGTTGAGGATTGGCAACGGGGGTGGGGTGGGGGGTTGTTTGGTTTTTATTCCCCCCCGTCTGCTGGGTGGTTGCAGCAGGTTTTGGTCACTTCATATGACCCTGGGACACTGTGACTGTCATAAATACGAATCAGTTGCCAAGCATCTGAATGTAAATCACAAGACCCTGGAGATGCTGCAACATTCCAGCTGATTGACGCTTCTTCTGGGCTCAGCAGAAGCACCAGGATCAGCGCCAGGCTCCAGCTGGAGCCTGGCGCTGATCCTGGCACTTCTGCTCAGCCCTGACAGCCCTGCAGCTCCAGCCACCTCTCGCTCAGGCTTGTGTGGTGCTGCCACCGGTTCAGCTCATTCCCCTCCCCCGCTACCACTTTTCTAGGATGTTCACGTACCACCTGCCAGGAGCCAATGTACCACAGGTGGTACCCGTACCACTGGTTGAAAAGCCTTGCACTAGAGAAAAGTGGCAATTTATAATTATATCTGTATATTTAGGGGTTTCCTTTCTTCTTTCTTTTCCTGAACTCAACTGTGAATTCCAATAAAACATCTTTCAAGACTGGCTACCCAGGAAAGGAACATTGAGAAGCCAAACCCTTCATCAACATTGGACCATCACTTTGAGCCAACATCTAATCCAGTGATGGCGAACCTTTTAAAGACCGAGTGCCCAAAAACTGGCCCCGCCCCCACTCTGCCCCCCCATCCCCTGCCCCGCCTGCCCAAAGGACCACTCACTGCCTCCAGGACCCGCCGCAGATCGCCCAGGCAGCCCAGCAGCGCTGTGGCAGCCACACCCTCTGCCTGTGCCCTGCAACATCAACAGCATGATGGAGTGTGAGGGCAGAGTCTTGTCTACGCTGCCTGGCTGCCATGTCCGTGGCTGCGCTGCTCCGTGTGGGCCACTGCGCTGCTCCGTGTGGCTGCTGGAGAGGAGGGGGTCATGGGGGAGGCAAGGCTGGGGCAACGGCACGTGTGCCCACAGAGAGGGCTCCGAGTGCCGCCTCTGGCACCTGTGCCATAGGTTCACCACCACTGATCTAATCTGACCTGGAAAAGCAGGTCCAAGAGTTTCCAAACTACAAATTTGAGTGATGTTGTGGGGGGGGACTCTACACACACACACACACACACACACACACACACACACTATTTCTGCCCTCTTCCTCCTTGATGAAGGCTTTGAGCATCAGCTTTGGACTGGTGTCCAGTTATCTCTGGGTTGCTGGAAATAGAGTATACAAGTGTTTCATCCTCTTGAGTCTCCATCCAGTGCAGGGGGATAACCATGAGCGAGCTGCCAACTGGGAAGACAAGTTGCCTGGTGACCTCAGCAACGGTCTGAGAGTGTTGTTGGGAACTCTCCCCTCAATTCCCTTTTCTACTGGAAAGCCTTCATCAAGCTTACCCCGGCTAGGTCCCTCCCTAGGTAAGAAAAACCCTCGCCTCCATTTGACACTTCAAAAGAGAAGCCGGAGGAACGAAAGCCACTTTGTATTTCCCCGGTGGTCTAGTGGTCAGGACTTGGCGTTCTCACCACCACAGCCCATGTTCAATTCCCAGCCAGGGAAAACGTTTACTTCCAAACCATCAATCATCCTGCAGGTAGAATTCCCAGGAAGGGTCGTGTTCATGGCAAACTAGCTGAATTGACCAGAGAATAATCCTACCTTCCCTCCCCTCCCCTACTCTTCACCCCTCTAGGGGGGGAAGGGACCTTGGAGGTCTTCTAGTCCAACCCCCTGCTCAAGCAGGAGACCCTATGCCTTTTCAGACGAATGGTTGTCCAGTCTCTTCTTTAAAATCTCCAGTGTTGGAGTACAGTTTGCAGTAGTGGCAAATACCTGTAGCTACTGGCCACCCAAAGCCCTTATAAAGAAAACACTGACAATGACATCCCCTAAATTCCACTGAAGATGTTACCTAGCCCAGGCTTTTCAACCAATGGTACAGGTACTACCTGTGGTACATTGGCACCTGGAAGGTGGTACGCGACCATCCTAGAAAAGTGGTAGCGGGGGAAGGGAATGAGCTGAACCAGTGGCAGCACCGCACAAGCCTGAGCGAGAGATGGCTGGAGCTGCAGGGCTGTCAGGGCTCAGCGGAAACGCCAGGATCAGTGCCGCTTTCCAGCTGATCGGCGCTTCTTTGGGGCTGTCAGGCTCAGTGGGAGCGCCAGGATCAGCGCCAGGCTTCAGCTGGATTTTGGCGCTGATCCTGGTGCTTCTGCTGAGCCCTGAAGAAGCACCAATCAGCTGGAATGTTGCAGCCTCTCCAGGATCTTGTGATTTACATTCAGATGCTTGGCAACTGATTCATATTTATGATGGTCACAGTGTCCCAGGGTCATGTGGAGTGGCCAAAACCTTCTACAACCACCCAGCAGACGGGGGGAATAAAAACCAAATACCCCCCACCCCACCCCCGCTGCCAATCCTCAACAGAAATGCTCACAACAATGAAAACCTCGGACAGGAGAAAGAGTTCCACCGGGCGGGCAGGCGTCTTGCTCTGCTGTGGCTTGGGGGCACTTTTTTCAGTGCCATTGTAACTTCGAACAGTCACTAAGCAAACTGTTGTAAGTTGAGGACTACCTGTACTTTATCACTTTTTTTGGTCATGTTTTTGACACCTTGCTAGGCAACTGGTGATACTCGGATGTTGCCATATCCTAAAAGTGGTACAATGGGTGAAAAGGTTGAAAAACCCTGACCTAGCCTGGTAACAAAACATTCGGAAACCAACTCACAAGCTCAGAGAATGAACCTTCACCCTCAGTCTCAACAGCCTCCATCCAACCAGCCCTGGCTTGAATCCTTAGGTGAAGCCGATGATAACAGCTGGAATTGCAGGAGATTTGGGGCATGCAAAGCTGCCTGTAGTCCACTTAGGGGAGAGGGAGGGGCATCAGCCCTTCAAGGATGCTGAGGGGAAGCCATATCTAATGTCTCTTGAGCACAATTGGTCAAAGGGGTCCGGCTGTTGAGTAGAAAAATGGGCTGAATCCACCCGGCAGTTTGGCGGCAGTGGTAGAATGGGCTCAGACTCAGGGGGATCATTATATATGACACAAATCTTGGCTGGTGAAGGAAGGGAATGTGGCCCTCACCAACTGCAGTCTTTACAAGCAACAGCCAACATTTTGGTTGCAGAAATCAGGCCTCTCTCTGGAGCCTTCCTCAAGGAAGCCGGGATGGAAAAGGTAGAACGGTCACAACTGTCATTCCAGAGGAAAACAGAATTTGGGACCTGCACTGGAGACTTGGCGCCTCCGTTTACAGGACCTTTCACCATTTTGGCTCCTTTTCAGAGCCCCGATGACCAGGAATTAGGGGACAGTATCAATTGTGAATACATACAGATGGCTCCTCTCTCTTTGGTCACTTGCAGAGTCCTGGATGCAGGGTCATGAAAGGACAGCAAGGACAACACCCAATGTCCTAAACCAGACATGTCAAAAACAAGGCCCGGGGGCCAGATGTGGCCCGCAAAGTGGTTTCATGTGGCCCACGAAGCCATCCTGGAAACAGTGAGGGAACGGCCCCCTCTGCCTTGGCCCTGGCCCAGGCCGGCCGGGAGCCAATGTACAATTTTGTGGTGGCCATCTATGCTGAAATGCATTCAGTCTTAGCTCCACAAGGCTGTCTAGAAACAGTGAGGAACCAGCCCCTGCTGTGTCGGCCCCGCCCCCTAGGTGCATGCTGGGGAGGTGTCACCCTTTGTGAGGAATGAAGAAATGCACCATGCCTTGGCGCTTGCCCCGGTCCCACCCCCTTCTGCCAGAGACCCTCAGATCTGTCCCACTCCTGCCCAGGCCCCCACAGGCACCCTTGACACGAACGGTGTAGAGCTGACCATGCCCACCCAGTAGGTCACACCCACTCCATCCACGCCCAGTCAGTAGGCCGCACCCACCCTGAGCACACCCACCTGGCCCGAGGACAACCGCAATGCTGATGCAGCCCTCAATGAAATTGAGTTTGACACCCCTAGCCTAAACCCACCCGAGAACATATGATATCTTTAGGGAAACACCCAAATGGGAACATGTTTAGCTACTTCTGCTCTCTCCCTTCTTATCTACAGTGTGCCAGACTGACTGGGTGAAATTTTTTATCTTATGTGTGTCAGCGTTGCTGGATGGGTTGCTTATGTAATCAGAAAGAATAAATACAAGGATTTCTTGTCATTCGTTGCTTCTCTCATTTAGAGGAGTCCGCCTCTATTCAGCCAAATAAAAACGTAAAGCTTGAAGGCAACTTCTGGTTTCCTGTATTTCTTTATCAAGCAAAACCTCAGAACCTACATATCAGCCCCTTCCTCCAAAGCTCGTTCCATACAATGTATATTTATGTGACTTTATGGTGAGGATTCAGGGACGCAAAGACTCATTCAAAAATGCATTCATTCCTCGTCACAATTTCACACGAGTGAGAGCCCAGGTGTTTTATTTTTATGGCCATCGTAGGGTAACGGCTTTGTGAATTGCAGCACAGACCCATGTGGCATGTGTCTCCCGCCTACAGTGTTAGGTCTTTCTCCTTTCTGATTCTTTTGATGGACTATAAAGGAGTTACAACCGAAGATCTTTCCGCACTCCATGCACTGACACAGCTTCTCTCCTGTGAGGATTCTTTTATGCAGTCCGTTTTACTCTCACGAAAGCTCTCCCCACATTCGCTATGCTGATATGTTTGTGTGGATGGACTTGTGGGAATGAAGACTACCGCTACAAGTAAAGCTCTTTCCACACTCCATGCATGGATAAGGCTTCTCTCCTTTGTGTACCCACTTGTGATAATTAAGTTGACTCTTATACGTAAAGGTTTTTCCACCCTCCTTGCATCGATATGGCTTCTCGCCTATGTGGATCCTTTTATGGACAGTTAGAGTTTTATTTGTACTAAAACTCTTCCCACACTCATTCCATTGATATGGCTTTTCACCCGAGTGGGTCCTTTTGTGGCTAGTTAGAACGGTACTCAATCTAAAACTCTTCCCACACTCCATGCATTGATACGGTTTCTCCCGTGTGGATCCTTTTATGCACAGCCAGACTGTTACTCTCACTAAAGCTCTTTCCACATTCACTGCGCTGATATGGTTTTTCGCCTCTGTGGCTCCTTATATGGGAGGCAAGATGATAACTCCTACTGTAGCTCTTTCCACACTCCATGCATTGAAATGGTTTCTCCCCTGTGTGGATCCTCTTGTGGGAATTAAGATTACTGCTACGAGTAAACGTCTTTTCACACTCCATGCACTGATATGGTTTCTCCCCTGTATGGATTCTTTTGTGGGAGGTAAGAGAAGAATTCCACGCAAAGCTCTTTCCACACTCTGTGCATTGATAGGGCTTCTCTCCTTTGTGGATCTTCTTGTGGGAATTAAGATTACTGCTACGAGTAAACATCTTCTCACACTCCATGCACTGATACGGTTTCTCCCTTGTGTGGATCTTTTTATGGCTAGCCAGACTTTTGCTCTCACAAAAGCTCTTCCCACACTCATTACACTGATATGGTTTGTCGCCTGAGTGGATCCTTATGTGGCAGGCAAGATCATTATTCTTACTAAAGCTCTTTCCACACTCCATACATTGATGTGGCTTCTCCCCTGTGTGGATCCTCTTGTGGGAATTAAGATGACTGCTACAAGTAAAGCTCTTTCCACACTCATTACACTGATATGGCTTTTCGCCTGGGTGGATCCTTATGTGGCAGGCAAGGTTTTTACTCTTACTAAAGCTCTTTCCACACTCCATACACGGATGTGGCTTCTTCCCTGTGTGGATCCTCTTGTGGGAATTAAGATGACTGCTACGAGTAAACGTCTTTTCACACTCCATGCACTGATATGGTTTCTCCCCTGTATGGATTCTTTTGTGGCAGGTAAGAGAAGAATTCCACGTAAAGCTCTTTCCACACTCTGTGCATTGATAGGGCTTCTCTCCTTTGTGGATCTTCT